ATTCAAACGTATTCAAAAATTGAAAAAATCGGTTGTTGTCGGCGATTCCACTGGTGCGTTAGAATTGACTCTATGGGAAAATCAATTCGATCAAATAACGTTAGGAGCGTCATATCATATTCGTCTACTTAAGATACGCACGTTCAACGATCAAAGTTCATTGAATGCAACGTCGGACACGTCGTAGGTATTTAATCGCAATACATAAATGAACTGAATTGTTTTCATTCATTTTCAGTTTTATCAAAATTGGTGATCTTGGCGAAGTTATCGAACAAATCGATAACAATCTAAATTCGTACAAATCGGATAAAGGTCAAATTGTCTTCGTCGAATCACTCGACAATCAATACAAATGCCAAGGTTGTGGTGGCACCAATTTCAGCGAAAACGAAAACACAATCTCGTGTAATGATTGCCGATCTCGATTCCTAAAACAAGACACGATTCAAGATGATTCTATGAAAATCAAAATTTCAACATATGCCAATGAAGAATACAATCTCAAAGTTAGCAAATCTCTCTTATCGCCATTGTTGAACAATAGTACTCTCTTGGCCACGACTGACACACAATCAAACAACTTCGAAGAAAATCTCGAACTAATCATAGGATTGAATGTTGAATTTGCTTATGATTATCACACCGGTTATATCAATACTCTTGAAATAATAAATCAAAATCAACCAAAAGAAGAAAGTATGCATGACTTTGTTTTCTTTAATAAACGATCTTCATTTGTTTACATTTCTTTAGATCAACTATCTGCTTGACAAATTTGTTCATTTGCCATCGTGTACTTTGCACAAAAACAATTTAGTCACAAACACTAAAACGTCCAAGAATCTAATCTATTTTCTCGGAGTTGATCGTAGATTAAATAAAAAGAAATCTCTTTTACTCTATCAGACTGTCTGATGATCGCGACACATCGATTGAAATCGGTGTCAATGCACTACGCATATCCAAACAATTCTCTATAGCTTTCTAAACTACTTAATCGTACGCATAACTACTAGTCGGTTTTGTGGACAATACCATTGTGCCTCTAATCGTCATGGATTTGCTTGTCGAACAAACCGTACCAAAACTTTACCTTATAATATTCAAGACATATCTAAAGACCAAATGAATGTACGTGAAATGTTCATAATGAGTGTTCGATAAATACAAATTATGACTATTCAACGCAGACTCATATTTCTGCATACAACCTATCTGTTTTTATCCACGCAATGTGTCTCTATATCGTTAAAGAGAACTCTTCCTGTTTGTGCTACCGTCACACAAAATATTCATAACAAAGCACAGAGCCTCTAGTTAATTCTGACAAAGATCAGATTTTGAACTTCAAAGCTACGAAAAACCATGAGATATGTGAGTTCCACATTTTAGCCCCAAAGGGGCTGCGCTGACAAGCTTTTTTACAATATTTTGATAGTGAGTGGCTTTTATCAAATCCGGGTTTGTACGAAGGTATCCAGCTCTATGTTCCAAGTACTAACAATGCACTTGAATCTACTAACAGAACAATAGAACATGATGGAGCCTTTCGTGAACGTCATGTTTTATCCAGATTTCTGACAACATCTTCGGAAATTATATCCAATTGGTCGATGGATCGTGATA